ATAAATTGATTAACTTAAACAAGATAAATCTTTCAAATTAAAATTTTTAAAGCTCAATCATAGGATGGTTTGAGGGCAATTGAACTTCTTAGCATCCAAGAGCTCCATATATTTTCTTTTTTGGCATCAAAAAACAATTATTCCAAGTTGAATTATCCCAATTAAAATTTTAAATAACAAACAACAAACATAAACTTTAAAATTGATAGAGACTTACTCCACTACTTTAATCAAGAATTTTTTTGGGAGATGATCTCTCTTAAGATGTAACTAATTATATAAGTTTATCCTTATATGAAAATTACAATACAAATTAAAATAAAACTGATCTAATCTTAGTTAGATAGAAGAAAGATCTCTAGTTTATGTAGAACCATAACTTTAAATTTTTTTGTTAGTTAAGATAGTAAATTATTCTTAATGCTATATTTGATCACCTAAATAAAAATTCTTCAAAATTTATGTTGTTTTCAATAAATTAATCCACAAACCCTTAATGAAAATTGACTAGAGTAAATTAAAAGGAGATAAATTTGTTATGTTAAACTCATTTTCATAACATTAAATCAAACTCAATACATCTTGCTCACCCAATTTAAAGGTGGCAATGGACTAGAGTAAATTAAAAGGAGATAAATTTGTTATGCTAAACTTATTTTCATAACATTAAATCAAACTCAATACATACTTGCTCATCCAATTTAAAGGTGGCAATTTTTTTGGTTAACCTCAAAACATACTTTGATCATAAATGTACTCTGATCTATTATGAGATATTAAGATCTCAGTAGTAAGTCAGCTACTTAACCCCAATTTTTATCAAAGCGATAGGCCTCTCACACTGCTTATTCTTTGTAAATATTCATTACGCACATTGTAGATTTTTATAAAGTACTCCAAACTCCAGACTTTAACCTATAAATATCGGACCCTCAGAAGAGCTAAGGGTTTGATTTTCCTAGGTCCTCTGATTTGAACTCTACAACATCTTATGTCATTCATATGTAAGATTTTCTTTCTCTTTTATTACTTTTCGAGGTCTTTCTCACTTTCTTTGAATCAACAAAGTTTTATTGTGGCTCACGAAGATTTTTGGATTCAACATAAGAATTTTTTATGTATAACACAATTTTAATTTATGAAATCTCATAAAATTAAGTTTATGACGGGTTAACAAAAAAAACTTAGGTTAGATCAATTTAGAGGAGGTAATGATTTTGGTTAAATATAACTTCTTTTGAACTTGCCAATCAACATGCAAATTTCTAAGATTTTATTTTTTTAATAAATTATTTAATAATTAATTTACTATCTTTTATATAAAAAAAATAAACTTCATTAAGGAATATGTAAATATTTAGTTTCAAATTACCTTAAATCCTTTCAACCATTAAAAATCAAATTTACCACACAAAATATTCACTCACAAGAAAAAAAATTTGTCTTTTTTACATTAAACAATGCCTGCCTTCAAAATACTTGAACTTTAATTCCTTAGGACTTGATCCTAATAATAATAAGCTAGAAGCTCTATAGTTTTAAAATGATAATGATATAATTTTAATTTAATGTCCCATGTAGGCGTTGGTGGAATGGTTATGTGAATAGTGGAAAAAATATTATATATGGTTTAAATAGATTTGAAGCTAAAACACTTACGATTCTAAATGGTACATTTTTTGTTGAAGAAAAGAAGGTAATTAAATCTTAATAAAAGGTTTTGGATATTTGAGAACTATAATGATTTTGATTTTATTCATTTTGAATTAGAAATTAAAGAGTTATATGTTTTTTATGTTGGTTGTATGCAATACTGTGTTATATTTGTACTTTTGGTTTTAGAATAAAATATATTAGGATTAATATGGCATTTAGTCCATGGCAGATTTTATGTTTATGATAGAATAAGTAAAATAGTTGTAAATATGTTATATGTGTCATTTGGCTGAGAGATTAGGTTTTCGGGTTGGGGCATTTTGTAAAAAAAAAAAAGGAAATTGCATTTGGGTAGTGAAAATAAATAATCATGCATGTTGAATAACTAAATTATTGATATAGTTCTATAATTTATGACCTTATGTCTTCTTTTAATATAATAAGGATAATGATTTAATCATAGTGAGAAATTCCTTGCCCAATATTTCATAAGAAACTAAGAGAAAAGTGTAAGGGGTTCCTGCCAGCAAACTTTGGCTCGGCCCAATTGATGTCTCAAGGAGTCATTAAGAATTCTTTTGTGCACTTGCCTCAACATATTATAGTGAGGCCACCAAGACTAGAAAATTTATGACTGTGAAACCCATATAAAAGTTAACACTTAAATATACTTCTTTATATTTTATAGTATGTTATTAGTCTTATTCTCTTATAGCCATGAATCATAAACTCAATGGATCATTTCTTAGTTTTATGTTTATGATAATATAAAGAAGGGTCATAGTCTCAACTCTTTCTCTAGGATCTTTATAATAAGAGTATCTTAACTTTAGAAGAATGATCACTATTCACTCTTAGGTTACTAAGAAATTTTCCTTAAAGAGACTTAATCCTTTCATTTTATTTTTCAGACTTCTTATTAATAAATTAACCACGTTCAAATTTTTTTATGTTTGATATTGATTCTTTTAAAGACTTCACCTTTTATAAAATAGATCTGTAATCACTCCTAAGATAGCATATACAATCTTTGACAAACTTGCTTATCTCATATCTCAATGTCAACATAATCATCGAATGACTATTAAATATTTATTTACCACCACCTAGGCCCATTATCTATGATTCATACTCTAACACATCCACTTACCTCAGTTTGGCGCCACCTTATATGAACTTATAAAATTAAAATAATGAATTCCCTAACTTAAATATTAAATTTGGTCATGCTTGTCGACCTATCAATGTTAAACTGGTAACTTTTATGCGCATTAGACAACAATTAAGCCAATAAATCACAATGGTTAGGCTAACAATCAAGTGTAGAGAGGACCCAATAATCTCTTAATTAGTGTGTTTGGCTATATTAGGCTTAAGTTAAGTTTGCTAACCCAATTTTTTTATGTGTACTCTTTGCAAGTCTTGTCCTTAGGATTGCTATTATAATTTAAGAGAGTTAATTCACCATTTAATTATATATTTGTATTTTAGTAAATAAAATTATTGATTTATATATGTTAATTTATTCTACAATATGTTTATTATTACTTATTCTATCAAACTCTCATAAGGTACCATACACACACCTTCACATCATGAACCCAATGGTATGAGAAGCACTCTTAATCAAGATTGTTAGAAGCATTGTGCGATAGATGTAATAAAAACATGAAGTCTTGCACTCATGGAAAACCAACATCTTAGAATTAAATATACTATTTGTGATGCCACCCTTCAAATTAGGGAAATCTAGTTTTGGTATGCAAGCAATGATCTTTAAATATTTCTTTTGTGGCAAGGATATCTGTTAAATAGTCTTAGCATCTATTAAATCTCAAAAACCATTGATTTAAGTCAAATTTAGTGACATAGACTTTTTAAAATGAAAAACTGAACATTAAATTTTAAAACATTAGAATAATTCTTATTCTCATTTCTTATATGTAGACTAAAAAAATAAAAAGTAAGGTATTCTTTTCATTTAAATTCTCTTATTATTTATAATGTTATAACTAATATAATGCATGGTAGGAATATAATTGATCATTTTTATTTTACTCATGCGCATTCATATCACATAAGACACTCAAGAAATTATGATAACATCAATAATTGGCACATTGTTTGAGTTATAAAATGTCATATTTCATTGAATTTCTAAGGTTGTAAAATATAGTATGATAGATAATAAACTTTTATATGGATTCATAATATAGAACAAAAAAAAGGTTATAATTGGCATTTTTTTTGCCATAACCTATTTCCTAGTGTAGTATGACTTTTAGGTATCTTATAAGTAGAGTAATCATCATTTATGTAGTTTATTATTCAAATTCAAATATTAAAAAAATGTTTACCGACACAATTCTCATAATCCACTTATGGACAAAAATTTGATTAGAAAAATTTATGAAATGTACCAATTTATAAATCATTACTTTGGCATCATCATCATATAATAGGTTGCTTATAATCACTATCACATTTAAATTTAACAACAATTCAAACTTTAAATTATCATTCATATAATGAAATAAATATTATCTTAATTAAATAAATAAGTTAATAAAGGGTAAGGCAATCAAAGAAAAAATTAATCATCGTAGGTAAGAGTGCAACCAAATTTTATATGTTTAAAAGTATGGTGGAATGTTTTTCCTTCTCTTTCCATATTTTATCAAGCCTCCAATGCAAGGAAAGAAAAATTTAGAAGCCTTATAATTGAGGAAAGTTTTTAATAAAGCAAAGTCGTAATCAATTATGCAATCATGTCATGATGACTTTCCCTTTAGGAATTATGTTAAATGTATATATTATGATTATAAATAATGATCAAATTATCTTAGAAATTATATTAGCTTGAATCATATATTAGTGTTGCTTGCATGCAATGTAAGGTGAAACTTATTAGCTCCCCCCTGTTAGGCTATTTTAGTGAGTATGTATAACATAATTTTTTAATTTTCATATTATTCATTTGAATAAAATATATCAATTTTCTATTATCATGCTAATCCTTCTTCATTTTTCTTATTTATTCCATTGACATCATAACCAACTTTACATCTACATCATTTGGTATTAGAGCTAAAAGCCAAGGTACTTGGTACTTTCCATTCTTTTTGTAATATTTTAGTTGGGCTTTCAACATTATTTGAATGTGTTATTATTCATGATTTCCTCTAAATTATACCGAGCCGGAATTTTATTTAGAATAAATAAAATGATGCATAAAAAATACGTTTCTCTTTACCGATTAAGAACAAATATAAGCTTATGATTGTGCAATAGATTTAATAATAACAGCTCACATAAATATGTAGATAAAGTTGCAACATCAAATGTTGTGATGATTTATAGGAAAAATTGACTAAGATAATCGATGCAAACAACTGGTTCTGATGACTCTGCATCAGCTGAAGCTTAAATTACATTATTCCTTCATTAAGATGCAGCTTCCTTCATTAAGATGCAGCTCAAAGTTTAGACAAGCAGATTGGAAGCTCAACAGAGAGGGAATTCAGTGATGATACATAAAAATACAGCAGCTGCACTGAAGCTCAAACAGTTAACTCAGACCGAGAAATTAGAATTCCATCAGTGTCAGCATAGATCCACTCACCATCACTGATTCTGGTTCCTGCAATGTTTATTGCAACATGTTTTTCTCCAATCCCCTTCTTATTTGCCTTCATTGGATGTGAAGCAAGAGCTCTGACACCTATATCGCATCCATTGATTTCATCAACGTCGCGTATGCAACCATTAACAACTATACCAGCCCAGCCATTATTCTGAGCTTGTTGTACAGGATTGCCTCCTAGAATGGCACAGCGCATGCTTCCGCCGCCATCTACAACTAAAACTCTGCCATTTCCCCTCTCCTCGAGGAACTCGCGCACAAGGACGTTGTCCTCAAAGACCTTGAGAGTCACGACTGGGCCAGAGAAAACCTGCCTCCGACCGTAGATTTGGAAAGTAGGATGGAGTGCGCGGAGTTCGCCATTCAAGATTAAGTGGGGATTTGCATCACACAGTTCAGCAGTTGCCAGAGGTAAAGCAGCCATTAAAGTTTACTGCCATTTCATTACAAGAAATATCATGTCAGTCAGTATTTCGCTGTGGGTACAAGTAGAATAAGTAAAATGCCAACGGTAAAAGTTGAAATACAATGAAAAAAAAAAAAGCCACAAGAAGATGCATGCTAAAATCAACCAATTGAAAACTCGGGTATGCTTGAGTTCTCCCACTCAACCCATACTTCCTGAATCACTTTCTCTAAATTATAGACCCCTATCATTGCATCTCTAATTAGTTTTTTTTTTTTTTTATGAAAAAAATTATGAATGTAACGTTAATACCATGTTAAGTGCCTCTCAAAATTTCACATTTAATTTCTGTAGTTATGCGCCTAAATCTAAAAATTCCCAGTTCAGCCATTCCCTGAGACACAGGTGTTCAGCCATTCCCTGTGACACAGGTGTTCGCTACACCGTCATTAAAACTGATACATTCTATATTGATCAAGGCACTGTTTACCAAGTTAACAAGTTCCAATGGAGCTTCTGTGTAGCTTGCCATACTAATCCTAACAGATTTTTTCCAGTTTAATGAACCCTATTCATAAATAATGACTTATTTGGATGTTTTATGTCTTCATTGCAGTTTGCTTCTTTCAAAAAAAAAACAAAAACAAAATATGTAAGTAGTGATTACACCTCAAATCTAATGGAATTAAATGGGCTTAGAGTTCGAGAGCCATGGAATTGGAAAAATTAGAGATAATAAATAACAAATCTAAAGGAATTAAACAGGTGCAGAGTGCTGGAAAAATTGGAAATGTAACAGGGCAAGCCGCCTGACGCTCATCACTAGCAGTATATAATATATATTTAAAGGCAAGAAATAATTCAAGCACTCAGCATTATAGGTGACCGTGGTCATTTAAGTTTCATTTTATCTGTCACCATTATTACTGTGCACCTTAAGCAGCAATGATGAGCATGCTGCAAGCAACCAAATTTTGATTCCTCTTGTCTGAAGAAGCAATATGACTTAAATAAGTGCTACATTTCCAGAAGGTAGTAGTTTTGATAGAAAAAATTTCAGACTAAAATGTTATATATTTTTCTTTTATAATATCTAATACAGCCGAAATGCCCATGTTGAGGCTTGTTTTTAAATATGATAGCCAGAATTACCAGTGTCCATAAGCCAAGCTGTAATAATTGTTAAAATATGAGAAGAATAAAAGTACAGCATGTCATTCTTATGACCATGCGGTACATAACACAATTCCTCATCTCAAATGTTCGTGTTCATCAGAGCCTTTTATGTGTGGTTGCACTTGAGACAAGATGAATTTAGCAGCTTAGCAGATTAAGGGTGCTTAAATCCACGCTCAACCCATATGTGAATAGAACTATTCACGTGTAGTTCACTTATTGCACTTTCACGAAAGTTGATCGTTTTAAGTAATGAATTTTATGAAGAACAAAAGAGAGAAATGGACATGGAGCACTAGTTTAGAATATAATGTTCCAATGTGAAGTTTTCATAGAGTTCTATAAAATTTAAGAGCATATGGAGGGGGTAGAGAACAAGACTAAATATGATTACACCTAACCGTAGCAAACACTTCAAGGAGGGGCTTGATGTGATTTTGATGGCTTAGAGTGAGGTTGGGAGGTAACTAGGATGTAGAGCAAGTTAATGAATGATTTGGAAGAATGAATGAAAATAGTAACAATATGCATAAAAGATATCTAACCAATCCTAGCACGATTGGCCTATGTAGGCCACCAAGCACAAATCAAACTGAGAACAATTTTCTGAAAGCTTTTTTTTTTTTTTAATTTAGAAGTTAAAATTTTTCATTACACAACAGCACTGTTTCATTGCATTAGGATGATTTTTAGACTTCATCATTCAAAAAGAAAAATATTTTAAGAAAAACATGATGCGAGGACAATAATAGCAAAAGGTGTCAACCACGCGCATTAATTCATGATGTATTCCAAATCCATAAAAAAACGCTCTTCATAAATTCTATAAGGTGAAAACTGAAATTTAAAATGATTGTATAAGTTCAAAACACAAAAATCTAAACTAGAATAAATATTTCAAAAATTTCTTTATGCTTGAGCTTTTACTTTTGCTCTTATAGTCTTATTTTTGACTCTCTCTGCTTGAGCATCTTTGTGTTTGAGCTCTTCCTCCAAGTATTACAACGGGTTTTGCTATCACCATTAAATTCTTCTACACAAAATATAATCACTAATTATAAAAACAATCATACATTATTTTACAATAAATATCTTACATTTATTTGCATTGAATTGAGCATCTTTTTTCAAACCAGACAAAGATATAAATCAAGAAGTGCCCTTTCTGTTCCGTTGACGTTATGATTGGAGTCTTTTGAAAAAGCTAATTCAATCAATTGGTTGATACAGATTTTCAAATTATTCCTCCATTTCGTCAAGAATTATTTATATTGAGACGATGGATCTAATATAATGTAAGATAACTGACAACAAACCAAGTAGCCTAAATCAACATAATATAAACTTCTAGCATCTTCTTGCAATAATCTCCAACAATATAATGGGGCATTTACATGCATACCATAGAATTCTTATGTTTTACATATCTTACACCAAAACATTTACATTTACATGAAATATAACTTTTCATGAATCAATTTCTGACAACAAATTGTTATAAGTGCAGATATCAAAATTTAAGTGTTAGATATGTAAATACATAAATATTGTAGGGTATGTACGTAAATTTCCCAAAAAAAATCGGCATAATCAATTTTTTTGGCAAAAACTTGCTCTCCAATCTCATTACTTCTTCCTGAAATTAACAGAAACCCTTGTTTCAGATTATTGATTACTCCCGTCACTTTGTTAGCCTAAAATACTTTATCCCGGAAAGGACTTTCTATTGTCTTCTATCTCATATATTGTGAATCTCCTGTAATTCATAAATTGATTTTGTTAAATTCTTGTGATAAATGTGCCTACTCAATAGACCGAGAGAGAGTTTACCACATGAATATCAAATTAACAATTTATCTAAAACTAATAAGACACCACCATAGGCAGTTGCCTCCTTTTTTATTCATTTATTAATTGTTACAATTGGTGTTAAATCTAACAAAAATCCTACTGAATCAATTTCAATCAAGATGCTCAAAATTAAAATATGATTAGCACCTAAAAACATATCAGCTGATCTTGATAGATTGTGTTAAGATTAGGACAAATTTTTTGGTTTTCTTAAGGGTTTTTCCTTGATCAAATTAGCCCACCTTAATCCCAAAGCTAATCAAATAACAGCTAGACAGTATGAGAAAATTCAAAGTTAATCTACTCCCAATACCACTCTTGTTTCCTTAACATAAATGTTGGATCCTGAATTTTCATAGTTTACACCAATACTTTAATAGCACTCAATGAAAAGAAGAAAAAAAAAAGAGAGAGAAAAGGAAGCAATAGAATTTCATTTGAATTGATTCATAACAAAAATGACCTAATATTGTGAAATTGCATAACCCTAGGCTTTTTCAACAATACACTACTTACAAGTTCGTGCTAGAGTTTAAGAGCGGTAAGAAAAGCTATAAACTATATTGTATGAATACAAGGAAATTATAAAGAGATCAATTGGTTCCTCAATGTAAAATACATGAAGCATATAACCTAACTGCATACTAGAATGTGTACATGAGTTTTTTTAAATTAGTTGTTCCAAGTCTCCGAAGTTGATGAGTTGTTTTTGAGTTTCAGTGCCTTCCCTTGAGCATGTTCATCCTAGTGAGTTCAACACAACTTTGGCGAGCTCTCCATGCTCAGCTAGGAAATTCTTCTCGTCCTTGAATAGCGGGTTCACCTTAAATTGGTCCGCGAGTTCTCATTGAGTCCAGGGAGAAGATCGGATTGATTTCATAGCTATCTGAGCTAATTTATGCGCACTCATGTTGAGTTAGCGAGTTCATGTTGTTAAGCTTTTAAGTTATTTAGGCCAACATAAGTTCACCAAATATTTTTTTAATCTTACAAAGATAAACACGAAGCATTAAAAAAAAAAGAGAATAGGATAGTCAGAACTATCTTTTCTTAATAGATAGCAGTCTTATATTTTGGGCCTTCACTTTGGAAAGAAATTTTCACTAAAAATTTCTCAAAATCAGCTTGGATTCATGTCGGACAAGTCTATTATGAAAGCTACACATTTATTGAGATATTTGATGGAGAAGCAAAGGGAGAATAAGGAGGATTTACATATGATTTTTGTTGAATTCGAAAAAAGGTATATGATAAGGTTCCAAGAAAAGTGCTTTGGAGAAAAGAAATCTAGAGCCAGGTTTCCTCAGGGCTCTCTGAGGCAGTTTTTTCAATCAGTTGGTAAAAGTGCTAAGAAGGATAGAACCAACAACGTTGACACTCAGTTTGAAGTGAAGAAGTGCGACAAGTGTAAAATGTCACACAAAGGTGAATATTTGTCTTGATCCAACACATGCTTTAGGTGTCACAAGCCAGAACACACGCGAAGAATTGCCCTAAATTGCGTCAGAAGGCTCCAGCATATTCCAGAAACAGTGTTGCACAACCTCAGAGGAGTTATGGTAGACCAAGGGCAGCTAAATCATTAGAGTCAGTGCTAAATACATATTAGACTTAGCAACAGGTTCAGCCCAGAGTATATGCATTATCATAGTAAGTAGCTAAGGACTTTCATGATGTCACAGGTATGTTTTCCTTTTAACAAATTTAAATGGTACACTTTAAGCATCATAGGATTCATGCCATGTCATACACAAAATAAGTAAGGGTTTAAATATATTAATAAGCCGACTCTAAATGTTTAATGTGGTGATTTTAAATGATAGGTATCATACATCTTCAAAGTAGGCCGATAAGAGTGTTATTTGATTTGGAAGCATTCCATTCTTTTATAGGATGAACTGAATAAAGTGATGCAATTGAATGTTATTTCAATGTCTGTGATATTATCAGTTAGAATGTCAAATGGTCATTTTCTGGAAGTTGATCAATCATGCGAGGTT